CCAGTTTCTTCCCACATCCCAAAGATATGTCAGTGAACTGGCACATCTAAACTGCCCAGAGCCAGTGTGGGTGTGTGAGGGTGCACTCTGCAATGGAATGGCTCCCTGTCTAGAATTAGATCCTGCCTTTCAGCCTGAGCTGCCAGGATGGGTTTCTGCCACCTGAGATCTGGGAATAAATGGGTTGGAAAATCATTATCTTAATCTTTCTTAAATATACCAGTATGCATATCTACATTTACTTCAGTGTTTAATAGTAGAAATGTTTGGGTCTTTTCCTCTTTTCTTAATCTTTAATTTATCTTTATTGATGAGACAGAGACAGAGAGAGAGAAGCATTATTGTTCCACACATTCCTGCATTCATTGGTTGCTTCCTGTAAGTGTCCCGACCAGAGATCAAACCAAAAAGCCCTGGCATGTCAGGAAGATGCTCTAACCAACTGAGCACTCCAGCCAGGGCCAGAAATGTTTGGATCTTTTTTTAAAAATATATATTTTATTGATTTTTTACAGAAAGGGAGAGGGACAGAGAGTCAAACATCGATGAGGGAGAGTCATCAATCAGCTGCCTCTTGCACACCTCCTACTAGGGATGGGCCCGCAACCAAGGTACATGCCCTTGACCGGAATCAAACCCGGGACCTTTCAGTCCACAGGCAGACACTCTATCCACTGAGCCAAACCGATTTCGGCTGGATCTTTAATATGCCATAGGAATTTAACTCTTTCTTTTTTTCTTTTCGTTTAGCTATCAATGGAACACCATAGTATCTGAGAGTGAAGAAAAAAAGGAATTTTATGGAATCTGCTTGAGATTTTATTCCGGGTGTGTGGAAAAACAATTTAAGCAAATTTGTGAATAGTGAGTGAGAAAAAAGTTACTTCTTGCTTGCACTGGGCCAAGTGGAATTCAGTAAAATACTGGTTACACATGCCTACTAGATACAAAAAAAGATTGGTTAAGAAGCAGTTTGAGAAAAGGAACAATAAGAGCAACAACAATAAGAATAGTGAATATTGCCCTAGCCGGTAGAGCATCGTCCAGATATACAAGGGTGTGGGTTTGGTCCTTGGTCAGGACACGTACAGGAAACAACCAATGAATGCATAAATAAATAGACTAACAAATTGATCTCTCTCATCAATAAATATATAAACATTTTTAAAGAATAGCTAATATTTATAGAGCTCAATACCTGCCTGATACTTTTCTAAGCCTTTAAGTTAACTCATTTAATCCTCTTCACTTCATGAAATATTATAATTATAACCCCTATTTCAGATGGAGAAACCAAACCACTTAATCTAGATTTAATACCTGATCTAATTGCAGTTTCAGCCTCTCCCAGAAATATAACCTTAATCAACCAGTTTGAAATCAACCAGCTCTAGCCAGGCAATGTCACTTGGGTTCCCTCTCTTCCCCATAGAAAAAAAGAAACAATTTGCATGATAAAAAAACAACCTCTTCTCTATTCTTTTCCTAAATAAAAGATGACCGTGCCCAAAATAATCTTTCTTTTGTCATTGGGTCCCTTGTCCCAACCTTCTTTCTATAAAAATCTTCCATTTTGCCAACCCCTCAGAGCAGCCTTTTGTTTACTAGATGGGACATTACCTAATTCTTGAATTGTTTAATAAAGCCAATTAGTATATCCAAATTTTACTCAGTTAAATTTTGTTTTTCTTTTGTTTTTTTAAACTCAGAATTGTTCCTTTCCACATAAATCTTTTTGTTTTCTGCCTTTAAAAAAAAAGTTTATTGTTGAATATTATAGATGTCCTCTTCACCACCCTATTGTCTATGTTCATATAGTTAATCCATACATGCATATAAGATCTTCGGTTAATCTTTTCCCGCCTCCCCTGCCCCGAAATTCATCCATCTGTTTTATGTTTTCATGCCTCTGACTCTATTTTATTCATTGGTTTATTTTGTTCATTAAATTTCTTGTTCATTTATTTTGATTTTTAGATTAAATTGTTCATAGATATTTATTGGCATTTTTAATTTTCTTTTTATTGATTATGGTATCACATAATTGTCCTTTTTCCCCCTTTATTGGCATTTTATTGCTCATATTTTTAATCTCTTCTTCCTTTTTAAAAAATTTCTGTTGTTAATCCTCCATGAGGACATCCTTTCGTTGATTTTTAGGGAGAGTGAAAGACAGAAACATTGATGTGAGAGAAACACATCAATTTGTAGCCTCCTGAACGAGCCTGTGGGCTAGGGAGGACCCTGAAACCAAAGTACGTGCCCTTGGTGGGAATGGAACCCAGGATCCTTTGGTCCACAGGTCAATGACACTAGGGAGCTTTTTCCTTTTTTTAAAGAATACCCTTCAACATTTCATGTAATACCGATTTAGTGTGAACTCCTTTAGCTTTTTCTTCTCTGTGAAGCTCTTTATCTGATCTTCAATTCTAAATAATAGCTTTACTGGGTAATCTTGGTTTAGGTCCTTGCTATTCACCACTCTGAATATTTCTTGCCACTCCCTTCTCACCTAAAATCTTACAGAAAAACGATGTGGTATTGATATAAAAACAGACACATAGATTAAGAAACAGAATAGAGAGCCCAGAAATAAACCCTCACTTTATATGGTCAGTTCATCTATAAGGGGGCAAGAATACATAATGGAGAAATGACGGTCTCTTCAACAAGTGGCATAGGGAAAACTTGACTAGGTTTTTAGAAAACTCACTACCTGCTGAAAACCCATGGGTGGCTTCCTCTGCATGGTCAACAAGGCTCTGGGCCAATCTGCTTCCCCCCTTCTGGCCCTGCCCCCAGGTCTCTAGGGGGCTGGGGGTTACTGCTGCCACTCTGCTCTCACCCAGGAGTGACTTCCTCCGAGAACCTTCCCGATCTCTCTGTTGAGGTCAAATCCCCATTGCAGTTTCCCAAAGAACCTCAAGCTCCTAAAAAACAAAAAACAAAACAAAAACAAAAACTATGCAGTCATAAAGCCACTGCCTCTTAGATCCACATAATGCCCCAACCAGGTTGAAATCTTCTGGAGGGCCAGGCCCTCCTGTCATCAGAGGTTGGTAAACTTACTCCAGCCCATAGAGACCACAGCAGCAGAGATCCTTGGTCCCTGGAGTCCAGGCATAGTCCCTGGAGCTCAGGAAGAGAATGAGATCAGTTTGGGCTCTCATAGGAGCATTTATACCAGCTTGGAACCTTCCCCTTCCCTTCACTCAGATGAATCCTGGGGAGGGGATGTGATCGATGGGTCTTGATTTACTAATCAGTAAAATGGTAATATTGTGAGAACTGAATTAATGCACCAGATAGTTTGAGTTCTGCCAGCATCAGTGTTTGCTACTTGCTAGCCACTTATAAACCAAAGGATTTCACTAGATTGGATTTCATTTTTTGTTTCAAGTCCTACACCATTCATTGCCCACTGACTCTTTGAAGGGTAATTTGAGGGTTCCACAAAGCAGACTCCATCAAGAAGTACTAAAGACAGGAAGATTCTTCACCTAATAGCTCAGCAAGAAAAAAGTTTGCTAATTGTCTCTCTGGGTGAGGTTGTGGGGAAAGAGGCAATCTTATATATATTGTTGGTGGGTGTGAAATAATGTCAACCCCTTTGGAAGTTAGTAGCATCTAGCAAAATTATATATGATCTTTCCCTTTGCACCAGCATTCTCTCTGGGAATTTAGCCTATAGTTCTCTGATGGTCATGCCTTCAGAAGACACTCATTAGTCTTCTCTTTCATCATTGGTCAATTTCAAAGAATAGTCAACACTTGCTACAGTGTGATGCCTGATTTAAGTTCCCTGCCTATATTAACAGTGAAACCTCACAACTTCAGGTGGAGTCAGATGCTGTTATCTTCAATTTGGAGACTGAGAGAATAAAACAACTTGACTAAGGTCATAGGGCCAGAAAGTTCCCCAAGTGAGAGTCATTTTGGTTTGGAACTACTAAGCTACTAGGGAAAACTATAGTCCCCATTTTGATAACATTCAACAAACCAGGGGTGATCCCCACCTAGAATAATGCCTTTATCCACCTGCAATTTCATATACCCTTTGGGGACCCGTACTGCAATTCTGTAAGTGTGGCAGAGAACTCCAAAGCCCCTTTTCAAGAGGTTGGTTAGGTATGTGGAAAAGGAGAACCTGTCTTTAAGGCTGAATTCTCTTCAAATTCTACCTAAATAACATTCTGCAGCAGACTGAAGATGAGAACCGAATGAGTTTACAAGGATATAAAACTGCTATACTAAGAAGTGATTGATGCTTCCGTATTTGTTTTATAAAATAGTTGCTTTTCATTGTATACACGTTAATCTATTTTAGGGCTATTATTTTTTTAATCTACCTGAGGAAATTTTTCCCATTTGTTTTTTAGAGTACAAGGAAGAGAGGGAGGGGGGAGAGAGAAACAGATGTGAGATACATGGATGGATTGGTTGCCTCCCACACAGACAACCAGGGCTGAGGATCAACCTGCTGCCAGGTAACTGCTCTTGACTGGGAACTGAAACCAAGACTGAGTTGCAGGCCAAAGCTCTATCTACTGAGCAACACAGGTCAGGGCAGAGCTATTATTTTTGAGTCTGGGTACGTTCCAAACCCTATATTGACCGGTTTTGCTCCTAGACACCTGCCTTTTTCTTTTTATGTATACCCTAGCCAAGAGTATTCTTGGGCCTCTACAATTAGTTTTCGTTTTTGTTTGTTTGTTTGTTTGTTTGGGGGGCTCATTTAAGGCTTAAGTACAAGGTCCACCTTAACTGTGATATTATCTCCAACCAATGTCGAGGCATTTTTTAACATTTTATTCTTTAATTAGCAACCTTGGGGAAGAGTTACATCAGGACTCATGAGGCCAATGCAAAAAAATCCACAACAAGCTGTTTTCCCTTGTTAGGTGGGGAGCAGACCTACTCCAGATCTGGCCACGGCCTACTGTCCACATCCTGGTCCCAGGTTACGTTGGTTGCAAACCGGCTGCACTTCGGCTAAAGGCTTATTTAGCTCGAGGGCATTCATGGCGTCCTCAAGTTTGAGCATCCCTGTAGCAGAACGCAAAGGTAGGTGTGGTGAGGACAGGGAGGCAAGAGCCTGGCCAGTTCTCGGCCTCTTTCAAGGTCCTGGCCCAACGTTCTGGGCCTGGGATTCTCAGGGACCTCGGAACATGGAACCACTGGACCCATTCCAACATCCTCCAAGAAAGTGGGGGAGGGCTCGGAGCGGTCAGGGGTTGGGATCTCAGAAAACCTTACCCTGGGCCACCTCTCATCAAAGTCTTACTCCAAGGCCCCTAGGACCAGCCCATGGTCCTACCCAAGAGTCCAGGGTCAGCCCATCACCTGGGCCCCAATGGCTGGTGGTGCCCGTGCGGCGGTTGCAGAAGGGGGCGGTTGCAGAAGGGGACCGGAAGGCAGGGGTGAGGGGGGCTGTGGGAGGGGAAGCGAAGCTGAGCCCCGCCCCCACTTCCCCGCCCCCCGGTAAAGGCTTCTCACCTCGCTCCCACCTCAGGCGGTGCCTCTCGGCCATGGACTGCAGCATCCACGTGGTTCGGAGTTTGTACAAGTAATTGCCGTACACCTTGACCTCGGTGAGGTTCGAGGATCCCAGAACCTTCACCTCGAGCATGGTTCTGCTCACTTGCTCGATGTATGGGATTCGAGATCCCCCGGGGCCTGTTTGGGGAAGAGGATGAGTGCTCCGAGCCCTGGAGGCCCAGACGCCGGCCCGGCCCGGGTTGGAGGCGCCCGGGGGTCCGAACCGGGCTCACTTACCAAACATGGCTTCCAGCAGCGCCGTCTGGACCCGGAACACCTGAGGACCTCTCAGGTCCTCGGGAACTTTCACCCACGGCGGGATATCTTTCCGTTTCGGCAGCGTCCCCATCGTGAATGCCTCGAAAGGAAAATCCCACTCGGAGTGCTGGTAGGCCTAACAGAGGAACCCGCGCCGCGGCCGCGCCGAAGTTGAGCCCTGGGCAGGCCCCGCCCCCAGCCAGACCCCGCCCGCCAGCCAGCCAGGCCCCGCCCTCCAGCCAGGCCCCGCCCCGGAAAGGCCCGCCCCCGGCCTGGAGGCCCAATCCTGGACTCACATCGTCCTGCTCCCCACCCCACCTCCTCCTGCCTGCACTCTGATCTAGCAGGTGACCTCCTGCACCCTCCCGAGCAATCCTGGGCCCAGCTGCCCACAAGCTTGCAAGTTTACAAGGGTTTCCACCTGCATTGACTCTTCTGTACCAGAAACCCTGGGCCTTGGAAGTTCACGGGGCAAAGGAGCTACTCTTGCCCCAGGAACGAGGGTTTGGGCCTGAACCCCAAGAAAGTGGAAATCCAGGGGGGTGGGGGAGGTCTGTTTGTTTTTGTTTTAAATATATTTTATTGATTTTTTTACAGAGAGGAAGGGAGAGGGATAGAGTTAGAAATATCGATGAGAGACAAACATCAATCAGCTGCCTCCTTCACACCCTCCCCTGGGGATGTGCCTGCAATCAAGGTACATGCCCTTGACTGGAATGGAACTTGGGACCTTTCAGCCCCCAGGCTGACCCTCTATCCACTGAGCCAAACCAGTCAGGGCTGAAAATTCAGGTTAAAGGGTGCGAGGACTGCCGGGGGGGAGGGGGGCCTGCCAAATCGAGGTTCAGCCTTTCAGCCTTCCACATTCCAAAGGAGGGTCCGTTTCCTTCTTTGAGGGTTGGATCCTGGGTCTTCACATCGCAGGTGTAAATTCTGGGACCTCAGGAGTAATTCCTGTCATTTAACAAAGAGGAACACGAGATTTAAAAATTCATCATCTTAAAGGGACTCCAAAGTACTCCCAGTGTTCGAGTTCCTCGAAGCCCCTGAGTCTGGAACTTTTAAATCTATTCCAATTTCAAAGTTTATCTGTGCTCTGCCTGGCCACTAGAACCAAACTGTATGGTCCAGACCTCTGGCTCTAAATAAACTGGTTTATTTATTTAAAAAAATATATTGCTTGCCCTAGCTGGCTTGGCTTAGTGAATAGAGCATCAGCCTGCAGACTGAAGGGTCCCAGGTTCGATTCCAGCCAAGGGCACATGCCTGGGTGCGGCCTCCATCCCCAGTAGGGGGCGTGCAAGAGACAGCCAATCAGTGATTCTCATCATTTTTGTTTCTATCTCTCTCTCCCTTCTCCCTTCCTCCCTGATATCAATAAAAAAGAAATATATTAAATATATTGCTTGAAGCGATGCACTGGATTCACCCAATAAGGGTATGATGTCAATGTTTTAGGGCTTCATGGATGGAGATAAAGCTGGATCTTCCCAAGGCCACCTGGGAACATCTATCTAGTAATTCCTCAGCTGGCTATATGACCATGCTTATTTGAAAATTCACATTTTTCTACCCTAAAAATTATAAAAACCAAACCTTTAGTCCTTTCTTAGGCTTCCAAGTTCCACTTTCAAACCTTATTATCCCATTCATAAGCATAGAAAGTTGTTTTTTTGTGTGTGTGTTTTTAACCCCCAGCTGAGGACATGCTTAGAGAAAGGAAAAGAGAGAGAGAAACATGGATGTGCAGCAATTGGTTATCTTTCATACAAATCCCAACCAGGGATGGAACCCCAAAACTCATGTATGTGCCCTGGCAACCTTTCCCTGCACAGGATGACCTTCAACCAACTGAGCCACTCTGACCAGGCAGAAAGTTGTGTGTGTGTGTGTGTGTGTGTGTGTGTGTTTAAGTATATTTTTATTGATTTCAGAGAGGGAGAGAGAGATAGAAACATCAATGATGAGATAGAATCTTCAATGGGCTGCCTCCTGCATGCCCCACACTGGGGATCAAGCCCACAATCTGGGCATGTGCCCTTGACTGGAATTGAACCCTTCAGTCTGAAGGCCAACGCTCTAGCCACTGAGCCAAGCCAGCTAGGGCAAGGCAGAAAGTTTTAACAATTACATTTAATGGTCTCTAAATATCACAGGTTCCACTAACAAACTTAATTAACTAAATATCCCCATACTTGGTAAAGAGCATTGCAAGGTACTTTAAGTCTCAAATAACTTCCCAATTACCAAATAATTCCTATAAGTCAAATAAATAAATCTTATTCATATGCTGAACCTGAATTTCTCTTCAAGAATCCAATACTACATATAAACTAAGATTTCATCTTAACCCACATATCTAAATCAATTATATATTTTAAATTGGAATTACAAAACCATTTCTCTAATATGTTAAATTATCTAAAATATTATAGGAAAATAAAATACCATGCATTGATTCCTTCTTCTGAAGAATACAGTACAATAAACTGCTTATACTAAAATGTGTTCTATTTGGCCAATTTTGACATAGAGACACATCCAGTGAAAACTTCATTTAAATGCAGATTTTTAAAACATAATTACTAATATTATGGTTTTAATTCTCTTAAATATTTCTATACCCAATTCTGAAACTTCAAGGAAGTAAAAGATCTGTGCACACACACACACACACACACACACACACACAGAGAGAGAGAGAGAAATGACAACAATATGCATAGAACTGCAAGTATCCTTATGTCAATTAAGGGGAAATATCATCCTATATCATTTTGGTAGAAGTAGATTTCAGACTAGAGATTTTCATGGAGATGCTTCCTGGATTTGATATTTAGATTTCAATTTATAGTTGCTGTGTTAATGACTCCATAAGCTCCAGGGGAAACTGTTATGGAGCCCAGATCCTTGAGTTTCAGTTTTACATTCCTCTAATCCTTCTGCCTACCCACAGGGGTTTATAAGTTCATCCTGTGACCTTTTGTTTTGTTTTGTTTTTAAATCATGTTTTTTTTTTTTAAATTGATTTCATAGAGGAAGGAAGAGGGAGAGACTGAAATATCAACGATGAAAATCATTAATTGGCTACTTCCTGCATACACACCCCCACCCACTGGGACTGAGCCTGCAACCCAGGCATGTGCCTTTGACCAGAATTGAACCCGAGACCCTTCAGTCCCCAGGCTGATACTCTATCCACTCAGCCAGACCAGTCAAGGCAATCCTGCGGCCTTTTGAATTGATGCTGCCTTTCTTTGGCTCCTAATGCATAGTCTGCTTAGGTCCCAAGACTGTGAACCATGTCAAACACCTACCAATTTCCCATGCACTTCTTTGGCCAACAGAACTCCATGGAGGATTGAAGGATAAACCTGAATTCTGAGGCTCTGAGCCCTCTGGATCTGGGCATGATACCCAATTATTGATGTGGGAGCTAAATAACTTCATCTTGCTGAGTAACAGTTAATAAGTAATGCTTTAATCTGGGCAGAAAAATCGAGACGTGGAAATGTAATTGTGTCAAAGAACTAAGACATCAACAATGTCAAGGGACTCCCCTCTGATGTCCAAACCGCATGGACCACCTGCTGCTGGCTGTGGTCAGCTGTCTCTGGCAGGTTAAGGAAGAGACTGGAAATGTGCTGCCTCTGGGTAAGGAGCTCATGGGGGTCAGGGGGTTCAGGAGGAAGTGGGAGACTTTAGCCTTTGAATACTATTTTACTCTTTGAGTTTTTGCTTAGTGTGTGTGTGTGTGTGTGTGTGTGTGTGTGTGTGTGTGTGTGTGTGTGTTTAATTAGTTTTCCATTAAAAAGTTATTCCAACTCCTCAAGAATGCTAAAATGGTTCCATTAGAACTGTCTGAAAAGGACCGGGGTCCCTGAAAATATCCGTCTGATTCTCTACAGATATTGTGCAGCTGTTGGGTCTTCCCTACGACTCTAGATCTCCGCCTCTCCCTCCCAGAGAGCCGGGAGGTGGGGGGTGGGGAGAGAGGAGGGGAGGACGGGGCCAGTGGGAACCCCCCTCCCCCCCAATAGAGCGCACCTGTTGCCATTTCGGATGGCAGCCGGCTGCGGAAAGCTAGGCCTGGAACCCAATGAGAAGGGCGCGGGTGGGGAGGAGCTTGCCCCCGTCCTTATAACAAGGCCCGGGCCCCAGAGCAGCTGCCCAGACCAGGCCCACTTGCATCTGCACCAGCCTCTCTGCGTGCCCCGCCGCGGCATGGCCACCGCCCAGCGCTTCCCCACGCTCGTGCCGCTGGAGCAGCGGAGCGGGGCGCCGTTCCAGGTGCTGGGTGACAGCGCCAAGCAGCCCTACTGGTTCCACAGCGAGTACCTCAAGAGCCCCAAGGCGGTCCGCCTCGAGGCGTGGCTGGTGGAAGCGATCTTCGGTGAGAGGACTCCCTTCCCCAGCTCCTGTCGCCCAGGCTGCCCGCACCTCGGGGCAAGCCTCCGCGGTGGCCCTGGCCATGCTCCCGCCCCTCCGGGCACCTCCCCTGCCAGCGCCCCCCTCACCGCCTTTCCCCTCCCGCGCAGGTGCCGGCGGAGAGCACATCCCGCACGTCGAATGTGTGTCGCAGACCCTGCTTCGCGTTCACCAGTGGGACCCTGAAGGCGAGGCCGAGATCTTGATATTTGGCCGGCCTTCTTACCAAAAGGATGTGTCCAAGATGATCATGAACTTGGCTCACTATCACCGCCAACTCCGGTCTCAAGGTAGGGAGGGCGGGAGTTGGGGGGGGGGGGCGGGGGGACCCTGGGCAGGCCTTAGCTTGCTTGGGGGAGGGACCCTGAGGCTTCCTGGGTGTGTCCGGGCAGCGGACTCCTCCTCTTAGTCCGCCGCCGGGAATGGGCTTCCTTTCTGCGAGGTGTCTAGAAGGCCAAGTTGACCCCGTGCTCTCAGATGCCGCCTCCCCCACCCTCCCCGCAGCCCTTACGGATGGCTCCTGTGGGGGGAGAGTGGGGGCACAGGTGCCTCCTCACCTGCTCCTCTTGCAGGCTCGTATAGGAACGCTGCGTACCAGGCCGAGCCGCGGAACTTCTCCGCTGCAGTCCGGCTGGCTGCGGTCCAGGTCTCCCCCGACAGAACCCTGGTGGACAAGACCCAGCACTCCCCCGACGCTGTGCAAAAGGAGGCGACCCAGCGGCCCCCCGAGGATGCGCAAGAGAAGGCGACCCAGCGGCCCCCCGAGGATGCGCAAGAGAAGGCGACCCAGCGGCCCCCCGAGGATGTGCAAGAGAAGGTGACCCAGCGGTCCCCCGACGCTGTGCAAGAGAAGGCGACCCAGCGCTCCCCCGACGATGTCCAGGAGAAGGCGACCCAGCGGTCCCCCGAGGATGTTCAAGAGAAAGCCACCCAGCGATCCCCCGACGATGTCCAGGAGAAGGCCACACAGCGGTCCCCGGATGCTCTCCAGGAGAAGGCGACCCAGCGGTCCCCCGATTCTGTGCAAGAGAAGGCGACCCAGCGGTCCCCGGATGCTGTCCAGGAGAAGGCGGCCCAGCGGTCCCCCGATGCTGTCCGCGAGGTGGCGACCCAGCGGTCCCCGGATGCTTTCCAGGAGAAGGCGACCCAGCGGTCCCCCGATGCTGTCCGCGAGGTGGCGACCCAGCTGTTCCCCAACACAGTCTAGGAGGCGGCGACCCGGAGCTCCCCCACCACTACCCAGAGCCCGATTCCCAGGTTATGAGGGCATTTCGGGGCCCCGGAGTGCGAGCCAGCAAGGTTCAAGAGAAAACGCTCCTCTGGAGCCCTATGCTTGGTCCTGCTTCTGCCGCAGAAGCTGGGGGAAGCACAGGGTGGTGGTGTGGTTTGTTCTTGGTTTCCCCTCCTCACCCCACTCCCCACCCCCCATGTTAAATGTTTGCAAACACAAATCTAAAAAGTTGTAACAAAAGAATCTATGTCCTTAATAAAGAATTGAATTGCCTGCTGTCTGTTAATGGGCAGGTAGAAGGCGAGGAGGCAATATCTGCTCTAGGCTGTTTTCTATCTTACAAGCAGGTGAGGCCTGTTGGGTTTCTGGCGAACAGAGGTCGCACACACCTGGCTTTGCCCGCTGAGCAGCCCCTCTGGTCAAGGAGACTGCCTTCCCTGGGAAACCTCTCCAAACCTGGGTGGAGCCCCCTTTGTCACTGTTTAAAATTGAAGAATAGCCAGGACCGGTTTGGCTCAGTGGATAGAGCGTTGGCCTGCGGACTGAAAGGTCCCAAGTTCGATTCAGGACAAGGGCATGTACCTTGGTTGAGGGCACATCCCCAGTAGGGGGTGTGCAAGAGGCAGCTGATTGATGATTCTCTCTCATGGATGTTTCTAACTCTCTATCCCTCTCTCTTCCTCTCTGTGAAAAATCAATAATATATATATAACTGAAGGATATTTGAAATACAGTGTAAACTTCAGGTGTTGAACATGTTAACTTGATAATACTATGAATGCCATTGTAGCAGTAATTAGCAACTCTCAGATTTGGCTTCTGGCTCCAGGCAGCTCCAACACCAGGTGCCTGCTAGAAGGAAGCAAACTGTTAACAGCTGGATGCTGGGATTAAAAAAACAAGAACAAACACCAATCTCGGTGTTAGGAAAACTTTCATTTTTGAAAAATCAAGGGGCCCGCTGATGTGCTCAGGGGACTGATTATCCTCCCATGCACCCACTGAGGTCAGTTCCATAGGATTCCGTCAGGGCACAAGCCTGGGTCTGGGGCTCTAGGGCTCCAGTAGGGGGCATGCAGGAGACAGCCAATTGATATTTCTCTCTCGTAGATGTTTTTCTCCCGTGCCCTTCCTCTCTAAAGTAAAAACATCTTAAAAATTAAGACACACAAAAAAATTTAAGGCCCTAGACAGTTTGGCTCAGTGCATAGAACTTAGGCCTTCGGACTGACAGGTCCGGGGTTCAATTCCACTGACTCAGGATTCCTGGCCTTGGTCAGGGTGCATGTGGGAGGCAACCAACTGATATGTCTCTCTGTCTCTCCCCCTCCTTCCACACTCTCTAAAAACAAAAATCAATGGAAAAATATCCTCAGGTGGGGATTAAAAAGAAAAATTTTAAAGAGAACTTCACTTTAAAGATCAGGGCAGTGGTATGTCTGTTACAGGCCCTTTGGTTACCACTAATATTGGTCACTGGATGAAAGGGGCCACACGCTAACCTGACAAGCTCAGGGAAGGCCTGCACGGCTGTCTTGCAAACTTCACAAAGGATGATCTGAAATTAAACTTTAAAAGCACTTACGGTGGGTAGTTAATGTCCTAGGCCAGTGGTCAGCAAACTCATTAGTCAACAGTCAAATATCAACAGTACAACGATTGAAATTTCTTTTGAGAACCAAATTTTTTAAACTTCTTCTAGCTTAAAATACACTCGCCCAGGCCGTGGTTATTTTGTGGAAGAGCCACGCTCTAGAGGCCAAAGAGCCGCGTGTGGCTCGAGAGCCGCAGTTTGCCAACCACGGTCCTAGGCCAGCATCTTCACTGACAAGATCAACCTTTACCTTAACTGAACCTATCTTTTTGCATCTATAATAACATACTAGTATCCTTGAAATGTCTGGGTAACTTGTAACTTTCCTTTTTCCAGATCTCTAGAGGTACAACCTAATGGCCCAGGCAGATACAATAAATTCCTTCATTATCCTGTTAATTATTCCTGTATCCACCTAAGTGAGTGTCTTATCATTTTACTTTTTATCCAATCCCAGAGGTTCCCCCCCTCCTTTCTTTCTCCCGCCTCTAATCTATCACCACTGGATTTCACATAACCCACCTATGTCCCTTCCTTGATTGCAATGTATAAAAATAGATTTTAAAAAAAACAAAAAACAAAAAAAAACTCCATTCTCTGGAGCATTATCTCAATCCATTGAGTTACTGCTTCCCTGCAATTGTGGACAGTTTGGCTCAAACACAAAAATTCTTCACAGGTTTGAATGTTTTTACATTAACATCACTCCAATTTTAAATAGTTTATTTTATAATAAGAACAAAGATAAAATGTATTTACAATAGGTTATTAACTATTTTTAGAAGAGGCAAGAAAATCCTAGGTACTTTTTTTTTTCACATTTTATTGGACATGGGTCTGGGCCTGGTAGGCCCAGCTCATGGCCCCGCAGCTAGAGGACAGTGGTTCCATACCAAAAAAAAAAAAAAAAAAAAAAAAAATCTCAGGGCACACAGTAACCCCACAAAGCAACACTCTAAAGATTATTATGGCCGAAACCGGTTTAGCTCAGTGGATAGAGCATCGGCCTGTGGACTGAAGGGTCCCAGGTTCGATTCAGGTCAAGGGCATATACCTTGGTTTCGGGCACATCCCCAGTAGAGGGTGTGCAAGAGGCAGCTGATCGATGATTCTCTCTCATCAATGTTTCTAACTATCCCTCTCTCTTCCTCTCTGTAAAAAATCAATAAAATATATTTAATTAAAAAAAGATTATTATAGGTCGGAGACTGCAGGGCTGCTCCACAGATATACAAACAGGTCAAATCTTTATAAATAAACATCCAGTGAAAACGACAACTCAAATTGATCCCTATACACAGAGCATTCTAGGGCAGGTAAATGGGTGGGGTAGCTAAAAGCCACCATCCTCACTGATTGGGGGACCTGGATGGGTGATGATGAGTGGGACCAGATGTCCATGGTACAGGGCGGGTGGGGGCAACAGATGATGGAGACTAAAACACTGTGCATTTACAGTGGGAATAAGGGGGACAGCTGCCTGGTGCATGTGTATCAGGCTGTTCATTCTGGAATGACACCCTCTACTGGGGATATGCCTGGGACCCTTCAGTCCGCAAACCGATGCTCTATCCACTGAGCCAAACCAGTTTCGGCTATAATAATCTTTAGAGTGTTGCTTTGTGGGGTTACTGTGTGCCCTGAGATTTTTTTTTTTTTTTTTTTTTTTTTTTTTTTTTTTTTTTTTTGGTATGGAACCACTGTCCTCTAGCTGCGGGGCTGTGAGCTGGGCCTACCAAGCCCAGAGCCATGTCCAATAAAATGTGGGGGGGGGGGGGGGGAAGTACCTAGGATTTTCTTGCCTCTTCTAAAAATAGTTAATAACCTATTGTAAATACATTTTATCTTTGTTCTTATTATAAAATAAACTATTTAGAATTGGAGTGATGTTAATGTAAAAACATTCAAACCTGTAACCCCCAATGAGGAGGGGGTGATCTTTACATCATATCCTGTGGCTTGTGGGCTTAGAGAGGAGCTACTCTGTGGAAAGGATGACCATAGAGACCCAGCACCTCTGCGAAAATGAGGATCAAGATCATGCCCACGAATAGTCAGGGCTGCTGGGCGATGCCCTGCACGCCGGCGTCACCCACAATGCCAATGGCAAAGCCAGCTGCCACACTCAGGCCAGCGCCCAGTTGGAGGGAACTCCTGTAGAGACTTATGTCTTCATTCAGGGAGTTGACAATAAGGACTGCCACCACCAGGCCATAGAGGGCAATGCTGCCAGCCATGACCGCTGGGATGATGGACTTCATGGTCAGCTCTGGTCGCATGACAGACATGGCCGCAATGCCGGTGCCACTCTTGGCAGGACCATAGGCATCACCCAAGGCGCTGAAGATCACGGTGGCTGAGGAGCCCATGACCGCGAAAAAGGAGGTGTACTCGGGACCGCAGCTCTTGAGCTCCGACAGGTCTGCGGGTGGGGAGGGGGCGAGCTCAGCAGGCCGCGGCGGAGCAAGAACCAGCTGTGCGAGGCGGGCAGGCAGACGTGGCGACGAAGGCTCAATCCTAGGTACTTCAAAACTCAAATTCAATGTAGACTCAGTTTCAATTGAGGCTACAGAGTATAACAAGACTCAATTTTGATCCCCACCCCCCCTTTAAGTAGTCCCCACATGACCAGAATTGCAGATTCTCTCCTTTATAAGATTACTGAACAAAGTCCCTATCTTTATTTTTTATAATATTTTATTTATTTATTTATTTTTACAGTGAGGAAGGGAAGAGGGATAGAGAGTTAGAAAAGTCAATGAGAGAGCAACATTGATTAGCTTCCTCCGACAAACTCCCTACTGGGGATGTGCCCAAAACCAAGGTACATGCTCTCTCTTCCCCCAACTGAATCGGACCTGGGACCCTTCAGTCCTCAGGCCGAAGCTCTATCACTGAGCCAAACCATTTAGGGCCAAAGTCCCTATCTTATACTCCTCTGTATCTGCCTTTATAAGAAATCACTTTTAACTGTTTAATTTGTACTTTTACATAATTGCACATAGCTTTTTTCTTCTGGTAACTTGATTTTCCTCAGTATGAGTACATTCGAACCTTTCCCTTACTGCTGGTTGATTAGTTCCCCAAATTTCTCAGTTATAAACTGTTGTGTTGAATTTCTCCTTTGTGTCCATGTTGGGGTGTGGCAAAAGTAGGTTTAGAGTTGTGAGCACCTAAAACCATTTATTCTTGAATTATTATTTTCCACTCGGGCCTACTTTTGCCACACACTGTGTCTATGGGAGCGTTTCTAAGAAGTGGAATTGCCAGCATTTCTTAAGAATGAGCACCTATAAAATTTTATACTGCCAAACTGCTCTACAACATGGCCATACCAATTTATTTTCCCACTACATGGTATGAAAGCTATTTCACTATACTTAACCAAACTCAGTGTCACCAATCTATTTTGTCTACATGTGTCAATTAAAATTTTTTTTTCATTATCTACCCCAATATTTTAACCATGTTCACTTTATAGAAGGGCAAGCCTACACCAACATTCTTGCTCATTTTTCCTCCCAGATGAAGCAACTTATTAAAATAGAAAAATGATTGAGGAAAAAGGCATATATAGAGGAACTCCAAAAATATTGTTTCATTAAGGTACACTTCAGTGATCCTTTTATTCTTTAAATAACATTTAAGCCAGGTTGACTCTGGATTTCCCCTTCACCAGAATTTCTCAACTCCATACTTTTAATCAAAACAGGGCCCTTTAAAATATGACTAACAGTGGGACCAAAACACACACACAAAAAAACGTGCCTCCTAATGGGATGTGCTGAGAACACAATATGATTTATCTGATATTTTTTGCTAAAATATGCATAACCTAGACCTAATCCTGAGGAATCATCCAAAAAACAAAAGAATTGTAAATGAGGGGAATCAAAAACTGCAGACAGCTGAGAACAGTGAATAGTGCACATGGGGGGACTAGGTAAACTGGTTGGCAGAAAAGTTTAGTGCGGACAGTACAACTCCAGTTGTTTGTGGAGTCTCTGGAAAACCTTGAGGATTTAACTGTGGAGTGTGTGACAGGCTGGCTTTTATGTCTGCCTCTGTACTTCCGTTCATACCTCCAATCTAGTTAGTAGACATCTGCACTATTTACCTTCATCGGAATTTTCTCTAGACACCTAGGAAAACCTTGCTTAAAATATTCCCGACTCCTTCTGAAGAACCTGTATAATCAGGGGTTTTTGTTTCAGTCCTCACCTGAGGGTATGTTTTTATTGACTTTAGAGAAAGGGGGAGGGAGGGGAAAAAAACAGACTGGGTGGCTTAAGCAACATTCATTGTTCTCAAAGTTCTGAAGACTAGAAATCCAAGATCAAGGTATTTCCAGGTTTGGTTTCTTCTGAAGACTCCCTTCTTAGTCTGCAGATGGCTGCCCTCTTGCTGTCTTCACATGGTCTTTCCTCTGTGCTCAATCTATCTTGTGTCCATATTCCTCTTACAAAGACACCTGTCATATTGGGAAAAGGCCCTCGCCTATACCCTTATTTTACTTTTACTAACTCTTTAAAGGCCCTGTCTCCAAATACACTCATATTTGGAGGTAACGGGAGGTAAGAAGTGCAGGGTCATTTATAATTTAATTTTTATTAATCTGGGGGAAATTGGAATAAATTTTAAGCATAACCCTCTTCCTGCAAATACAAGTCCAAAATGTTCGATGGTTTTGAGAAATTCCAACAGGAAAACCTGCAGGAATATTTATCAGATTTCTACAGAATACACTGGCTGGTGAGGCTCAGCTGGTTGGCACATGGTCCCAGAAGGTGGCAGGTTGGATTATCGGTCAGGGAACATATACCAGGTTGTGGATTTCTCCCTGCCCCTCTCCCCTCCCTCCCTAAAATAAATAATTCTACAGAATAAGAGAAAGCAGGAGTTCCTAAGCTTAAAGTTAGGATGAGGGGCCCAATAGTGTGGTTCAGTGGCCGAGCATCGGCCTATGCAATAAGAGGTCACTAGCTGGATTCTAGGTCTGAGTTGCAGGCGTGATAACCCAGGGGGCGTGAAGGAGGCAGCTCATCAATGATGTTTCTCTCGCCCTCTCCCTCTAAAAACAAAACATTTTTAAGTAAGGATGAGGGAAAATCACACAGAAAATAATTGGTTGAATTACCTATAACAATTTCTCTCGTGCAAAAAAAAAAAAAAGAAAATTGAGAAGGGGTAGAAAGTATTAGTTCTAATGGACCAAAACTGAGAAGCAAACTAGGAATATAATGGTCATCATTACTTGTAATCACAGACATATTTTAAAATACACGTGTGTGTTTAAAAACCCTTGCAAACAGCTGAAATCGTTTACTCCTAAGGGGTAAAGAAAGTGCACGAGTCGAGTTAAATCAACTCAAACTTTGTGTCTGAAGCCACAGAGCTCTTGGCCACTCTTCCCCCCCCCCCCCCCCCCCCCGCACCTCCCAAGAAGTCTGCTTCCTGAAAGTGGAGACAGCACAGTTTTAAGTCTGTTTTGCACAATTTAGTCATAACTATTTCACTGGTAATAGAAAAATCCCCTGGGTCAGGACACCTTTGCAGGCCGGGGTTGAGAAGGGGTGCAGAGCCAGCCAGCGTGGGGACAGAACACCTTTTGTGGGACAAAGTGCCCAGGATCACAGTTCTCCAGTGAATCCCAGCACGATGAATGCTGATGGCCTTAGCTTTCCTGTTAGAACACCCGCCCGTGTGCGGAGAGGGAAGCACCCCTCCAGAAGAAAACAGACAGCAGCTTCTAAGAGCCTTGAAGGAGAATCACCCATTGGGATTACCTAGGAGCTTGTTAGAAATGCAAATTCATGGGCCCAATGGACTGAATCAGAATCACTTGAGGAGCATTAAACTTTTAGTAAGCTCTCAAGGTGATTACACACATGTTCAAGTTTGAGAACAAATGCTACAAAACTAAAGTCCAAAGCATATTGTCCCTAAATCTCTACTTCCTGTGCATGAAGGCCTGACTGACACCATAAAAATCATAAGATAGTAGTTTCAAAATGATAGAAATGAATAAACAGACCAAAAAAACACCCACAAATAAACAAAAACAACCACTTTTCAGGCCTTATATCTACCCTGAACATCAAGACATGCATGGACCTAACCAGTTTAGCTCAGTGGATAGAGCATCAGCGTGAGGACTGAAGGGTCCCAGGTTCGATTCCGGTCAAGGGCATGTACCTTGGTTGCAGACACATCTTCAGTGGGGGGCATGCAGGAGGCAGCTGATTGGTGTTTCTTTCTCATCAATGTTTCTAACTCTCTATCCTTCTCCCTCTCTGTAAAAAAATAATAAAATATATATTTTTTAAAAAGACATGCATGAATCCTTTGGTTTGATTTATGACCAAAAGGGAAATATGTGGACAAAAGGGGCCACACGATAACTGGATAAGCTCAGGGGAGGCCTGCAGGGCTGTCTTGCAAACTCAGAGACCTAAAGTAACCACGAAGGATGGTCTGAAATTAAACTTTAACTAAAAGCAGTAATGCTCAGTGGTCACCTCCTAGGCTGGTATCTTCACTGACAAGGTCAAACTTTACCTTAACTGAGCCTATCTGTCTTTTTACATCTATGATAACATATCCTTGAAATGTCCCAGTAGCTTGTAACTCCCATTTTTTCGGACCCTTTGGGCACAACCTAACACGTCTGGGCTCCTGGACAGATATCACAAATTTCTTCATTGTTATCATGTTAATTATTCCTCCACCCACTTAAGTTAAGTGTCTATCATTTTACTTTTTATCCAATCACAAAGGTTTCCCCTTTGCTTTCTCCCTCCTCTCTATCACCAATGGATTTCAAGTAACTCACCTAGTCACCTCCTTGGATTACAATGTATAAAAATAGATGAGAAACCTCTCTCCTCTGGAGCATTATCTCAATTCTTTGAGGTTCTGCTTCACACACACACACACACACACACACACACACACACACACACACACAGAGAGAGAGAGAGAGAGAGAGAGAGAGAGAGAGATATGCATGAACTGTCAATCTTTTGTAAATTTGCTTAATTTTAAGTGAGCAAAGATTGTTATGCCAGTGGACAACAAAGTAGATCATTTTATTAGACAGCACTCACATCTACATCAGAATAAACCACCATCCATCCAGCAAAAGGAAGAAAGAAGCTGAGATGTAAGGACACTTGCTTCTTTTTGAACTTCAGGAGCAGGTGGGTCTCATCATGCTCCTGCCAATATCAGGCATCAGGAGACTGGGCAGCCTGGGGAGTCAGAGGGGGAGACTTGGGAGTCGGAGGGGGTGACCCATATGCCTTCAAGAACTTCTCGAGTTGTTTCATCTTCTCATCTGGATAAACAAAAATGCTCGCTGTTTCAAATTACTCCGTCATTGTGGGCAGGGGGGAAGGGAGTAGGGGGAGGGGTGCTGGCAACACCATTTCTCTGGGGGGAGGTTCTGAACTTGGGTCTGGAAATAGTTGTATAATCACACTGAGGCTGACACGGGCAGTGATGGGCCTGAAGGTGCCAGATCTCAGCTTACTGCCCCAAGGTCCTACTGGGACTTGCAAAAAGGCACGCCCAGGAGCTGCCTGCAGCCTGCTGGAGTTCATGGGGAAGGTAAGAGAGGCTGGAAGGAGGCAGGTGCGGCCAGGTGGTTCACCTGGGCCTCCTCCCCAGGCAGGTTCAGAGCCTCACCTCGGGTGCGGTTTTCCCGGTACCTTCCTGCCAGGTTCAGGAGCACGCTTTTCACCCTGTTCTGCGCCCGGGGCTGCCCGAAAACGGTGATTTCCATTAAGCTCCCGGAGCTCATCGTATCCACCATCAGCAGGACCTGGTTCATCCACTCTATTTCCGGAATCATGGCTCCGTTTTTGCCTAAACAGGAAGAGAGAGATTGAGAGGTGGCATGGTTGAAGTTCTAGAGGATGCAGATTTGGCCGAAACCGGTTTGGCTCAGTGGATAGAGCGTCGACCTGCGGACTGAAAGGCCCCAGGTTCTATTCCGGTCAAGGGTATGTACCTTGGTTGCAGGCACATCCCCAGTTGGGGGGGGGGGGGGGGGAGAGAAGGCAGCTGATCGATGTTTCTTCTCGTTGATTGTTTATAACTATCCCTCTCCCTTCCTCTCTGTAAAAATCAATAAAATATATATATTTAAAAAAAAAAAAAGGGGGGGGGTGGCCCTGGAGTTTGGGAAGGGCTGTAGGGAGGTGCCCGGCCTCTCCCAGGCTGGAGGGGACGAGACCACCTGCACACCTGGCTCGCTCACCAAAGATGGGGTCGGCCAGACAAGCCTCCAGGTAAAACACCGACGGGTCTCTCAGATCCTGCTCAGGAAACCACCAGGGCCGCGTGCGAACCCGTGGTAGTGGGAGCGGCATCTTCAGCAGCCGGTCCAGGGCCTGGGCGGACATCCATGCGTCCTCCTGGACCACGGCCTCTGGCTGGTCCTCCATGCTGGGACCTGCAGCTCCAGGGCGAGGTCCAGTGGCTCTCACAGAACCAATCACACGCGGAGCCTGTGCCCCCTTATAGGGTCTCCGTGCAGCCCCGCCCCTCCGGGCATTACCCCCACCCCCATCCCCAGCCCAATTGGCACTGGGCCCAGGCCCTGCAGGCTCTGAAGGGCGCTTCCCGCCCTGGAGTCAATCACCAGGACTTCCTTTGGGACCTTGAATTAGTCTTTGTTTGGCTCCAGCTGGGTCTCAGCGGGCATCTGTACAAGTCAGGCATCACCTGGCCTCCACGCTCCTGCCCCGCGCAGAGCTGGCGAACAGTGTGGTTTGCATTGGAGACTACATTGACTGGAAATCACTTTCAGTGCCCAGATTCAGGTTTCTGTGCCACCTTCCAGAGGTTGGCAGGTAAGTCAGGCTGAGGGCAGGCTCATTGAATCTACTTCTTTCTCTCTTCTGCTTCCTGCTCTCTTCTGATTGGTTAGTTACTACTTCTAAATCATTCAAGCAAGTGTTTCACGTTTTAAAATATAAAAGTTAAAGCTGCCGAAACCGGTTTGGCTCAGTGGTAGAGCGTCGGTCTGCGAACTGAAAGGTCCCGGGTTCGATTCCGGTCAAGGGCATGTACATTGGTTGCGGGCACATCCCCGGTAGGGGGTGTGCAAGAGGCAGCTGGTCGATGTTTCTCTCATGGACATTTCTAGCTCTCTATCTCTCTCCCTTCCTCCTCTCTGTAAAATATCAATAAGATATGTTTAAAATAAATAAATAAATAAATAAATAAATAAATAAATAAATAAATAAAAGTTAAAGCTGTTCCTTATAGAATACGTAGCAAGTATAGACAAATCCCGTTTATTTCCAAAATCCTAAAACAGTTAATATGGATGTACATTTCTTACCAATGTTTTTAATTTTGGGTAAAACTTTAAATTATAAAAGATGTCACACATTCAAAAAGTTATATAACAAACACCCATGAACAACACCCCTGCAATAATGTTAACATTTTCCCACATTGCCTTACTTCTTTCTTCTTTAAAATAGATATCACTCAAATATCTTTCCTTTCTCTCTCCACAGGATATCATTCTCCGGAAGCTGGTCTATATCATTTCATGCATGTTTGTATACTTTTTCTAATGCATCTCTAGAAATATTATTTGGTAGTTGTTTTAGAATAGATAGCAGCTGCTGTACAGACTGTTTTGTTCTTACGGCTAGCTATGTGCTGCTGTTGTTGTTGTTTTCAATCATTTTAATGGAAATTTTTGATCATTTGTATAAGGGAGATAGTATTAGTATACTAAATTCCCTCATCCACATTATCTAGGTATCAACAATTAACCATAGATAATTTGTATAAGAGAAGGAGTTGAATCTAACTTTAGTGGGTGTTTTTACTTCTTCGATTTAATTTTAAAAATCAACACAAATGCCCTGGCCAGTGTGGTGCAGTTGGCTGAGTGTTGTCCCATGCACCAAGAGGTAGATCACTGGTTGGATTCCAGGTCAGGGCACATGCCAGGGTGTCAGGCTCAATCTCTAGTAAGGGGTGATGTCTCTCTCTCTCTCTCTCTCTCTCTCTCTCAATGGGAAAAGTATTCTTGTGTGAAGATTTAGAAAAATAACAAAAATAAATAAATAAAAATCACATAATAATGAATGCACATTGTAAAAAAACAAGTATTGAGGATATAAATATGTGAAAGTATTTTCTTTAATGTATTCTTCAATCTCTTAATAATCCTTTGAGAGTTGTGTGTATTCTCAATATCTTCTAGTTTAAATTGTTTTCTCAGTTTGTCTTTTGATGAATAAAATTTTTAATTTTAATGTAGTCAAATTCATCAATCTTTTTAAAAAAATATATCTTATTGATTTTTTTTACAGAGAGGAAGAGAGAGGGATAGAGAGTTAGAAACATTGATGAGAGAGAATCATCGATCAGCTGCCTCCTGCACACCCCCTACTGGGGATATGCCCACAACCAAGGTACATGCCCTTGACCGGAATTGAACCCAGATTCCTTCAGTCTGCAAGCTGACGCTCTATCCACTGAGTCAAACCAGTTTCGGCAAATTCATCAATCTTTATAGTAAGTGTCTTGCTTAAGAAATCCTTTCCTGCCAAAACTGGTTTGGCTCAGTGGATAGAGCATCGGTCTGTGGACTGAAAGGTCCCAGGTTCAATTCCGGTCAAGGGCATGTATATTGGTTGCGGGCACATACCTGGTATGGGGTGTGCAAAAGGCAGCTGGTGGATGTCTTTCTCTAATCGATGTGTCTAGCTCTCTCTCTCTCTTACCCCTCCCTTCCTCTCTGTAAAAAACTCAATAAAATATATTAAATAAAAAAAAAGACCACTGGCATATTCAGACTTAATAAAAGTGTTAGAAAGAAAGAAAGAAAGAAAGAAAGAAAGAAAGAAAGAAAGAAAGAAAGAAAGAAAGAAAGAAAGAGAAAGAAAGAAAGAAAGAAAGAAAGAAAGAAAGAAAGAAAGAAAGAAAGAAAGAAAGAAAGAAAGAAAGAAAGAAATCCTTTCCTGCTCTAACCGGTTTGGCTCAGTGGATAGTGTCAGCCTTTGAACTCAAGGGTCCCAGGTTCAATTCCAGTCAAGGGCATATACCTTGGTTGAGGGCACATCCCCAGTAGGGAGTGTGCAGGAGGCAGCTGATTGATGTTTCTCTCTCATCAATGTTTCTAACTCTCTCTGCCTCTCCCTTCCTCTCTGTAAAAAAATCAATAAGATATATTTTTAAAAAATCCTTTCCTGCCTGGAGGTCTAAAAATATCCACTATACTTTCTACTAAGAATGCTAAATTTTCTATTTTAACAATTAAATCCTTGTACCACCTGGGGTTAAATTTTTTAAATTGGCATTAGATAGGGAGATAATGTCATCTTTTTATAAAATGATAAGTTTTTGCTTGAGCCATTCTCTCAAAGATGCATTCAAGGCCACTTCACATTATCGCTTGGAAAATTTCAGACTCTTGCATGTAGAATGAGTTAGTCACAAGACTGGTTTTTAGTAATTAATTATTAGGTCAAGACATAATTGAAAAAGGCAAAGTCAAGATTACATTCTTTGACATTTTCATCTGAATGGCAACATTTAATTCTGCTTTAGTTTCATTTTGGAAGTATAGTTATCTGGGGTCCTGGTCTTATGCAGAGACCCCATATTAAGTTTCCTACAATTGGCAAGCCTTGAGTTTTACTTGCTGATCCCATGCTAGCTTCAAAATAGAAAGGTTTTTAGAAGTTAGCAGAATCTGCCAAGATGAATAAGTTTTGCCCCTCTGTTATCTCCAAGGCTTCCTAATTTGGCTCTGATGAGTGGGAGGTGGGCATGGTTTTAATTCTGGCTCCAACATTTTCTAGCTGTGTGACTGAATGCAAGTTATTAAAACTCTTCTACCAAAAAAACTTCCAGTGGATCATAGGCTTTCGTTTTCTTTTCTTTAAAAAAAATACATTTGTGTCATTTTTAAATATGTTTTTATTTCAGAGAGGAAGGAAGAGGGAGAGAGAGAGATAGAAACATCATTGATGAGAAAGAATCATGGGTCAGCTGCCTCCTGCACGACACCACAACCTGAACATGTGCCCTTGACTGGGACCCTTCAGTCTGCAGGCCGACACTCTCTCCACTGAGCCAAACCAGCTAGGGCTGCTTTCATTTTCTTTGTCTAGCCCTGGAGGAACCAGTCTAAGGGGCTTTGGCTTCAGACAGTAAAAGTACGTGAGTGAATTGGTTTTGTAATTTCTTATTACGAAGCTTTGTTCCCACTTCTTTTAAATATATATATATATATATTTTATTGATTTCTCAGAGAGAGGAAGGGAAAGGGATAGATAGCTAGAAACATCGATGAGAGAGAAACACTGACCAGCTGCCTCCTGCACACTCCCTACCGGGAATGTGCCTGCAACCAAGGTACATGCCCTTGACTGGAATCGAACCTGGGACCCTTCAGTTCGCAGACCAATGCTCTATCCACTGAGCCAAACCAGTTTCAGCTGTTCCCACTTCTTGTAACCTTCGACTCTAAGGATGAAATCTTTCTATACAATGAAAAATGTTACAAAGCATAAAGAAGACATAATACCAATTTTTGTACCAAATAATAACATCAAAATGTATGTCACACATAGGAAAAAATGGTCAAAATGAGGAAAGTAAAGTTGTAAGAATATATTTAGCAAATCACTGTCAAAGGTCCTTGAGGCTCTGGTTCCAATCTTTGTAATTTTTTAAGGATTATGCTGTTAACAGGTGATCATAATCTGAAAATAACCTCAGCTGCCTTTATAAGGTTTTCCCATCAATGCTGACTTAAGATAATAACAAATTTGTCTGTTCCGCTGAAATTGGTTTGGCTCAGTGGATAGAGCGTTGTTGGCCTGCGGACTGAAGGGTCCCGGGTTTGATTCCGGTCAGGGACATGTACCTTGGTTGGTTGCGGGCACATCCCCAGTGTGCAAGAGGCAGATGATCGATAATTCTCTCTCATCGATGTCTCTAACTCTATCCCTCTTTCTTCCTTTCTGTAAAAAAATCAATAATATATATATTTAAAAAAATTGTCTGTTCCATGATGGATGGTTTTATGGATATTATACATTTAGCTAATATCTACTTAAAAATCATCTGGAGCCACCTAGTGGCCATACTGTGAGTGTCAAAGACTAAATAAAGGGTACAACCAATTTTTTTCCATTCCTCCTTTTCAAAATCAGGGACTAAATGTTCATATTTTATAATGTATTCTTTGAATCCCTCCATCTATTAATCTTTTGAAGGCTGCAATAGGATTATAACCTTAAAGCTGCTTTTTGACAAAGTTATCCGCTAGAGCATTTCCTTTAATGACTATATTTCTCTCTCTCTTTGTAGATAGGTCTCAATCTTTATAATAGCCCCTCTCTAAAAAATAAGAATGAGCCAGGACCGGTTTGGATAGAGCGTCAGTCTGTAGACTGAAAGGTCCCGG